AGAAGTGCTGTGGTTTATGAGTGTCTAATGTAACAACTGAAAGAATTACATGCTATCCAACTAAATGTAAAACTATCCAACTAAATTTAAATGTAAAATGTAATGTAAATGTGGAAAATGAAGCTTCATTTTTAAAAAATAATCTGTTATGCTTCCTTCAGAGGCTTTTTTCCCTGAACAGGTGCGGTCTTTTGTTCTGTTTTGGCATTTAAAAACAAATCACAAAGCCATGATTTTTCCAATTTTTGGTCATTACATATAACCATCCTCAGTAATTAACTTTTTGTCACTGAATAACTTTTGGTCCAACAAAAGTGGGACCAAATCAACAGCCTTCTTTGTACAGTCACCAAGATAGCCAAGTGTCTTGCTGCCAGTTGCTAGGAGAAGCCTCCTGCAATGAGTTCATGTGGCATCATCCTCCAAACCGTGTCTGATGGCCATGCACCAGTGTCTGAGCCTACCAGGCATTGTGGCAGTATGGTAGACTTTATATTTGTTAATTTTCTGGATTAATTCTGCTTTATTTCTCACAAAATAACAGCATGACTTCTGTTGGCAGCTGTGGGGTTTCTGCATTACTATCTTTTGCACGTATGGGGTATTCTTTTATCTTGCAAATAAAGTGATAAGCTTTTTCTGCTGTAAGCTTATTAGAAATCAGTCAAGCAATAAATTAATACATTTTCCATAGAAAGGCCTCAAATGGAATACACTTTGGAGTTTTGGGAGTTACTCTTTGAGAAAGTTTCAGGCCAAATAAAGAACATCCAGAGCAGACCAGTAAGAATGATTACAAATCTGGAAAACATGAGTTTCATAGCATGTATGAATTTATCGGGAAGAGAAGACTTGGGGGAAGAGACATGATAACAGTCTTCAAATGCCTGGAAGATTCTTGTAAAGAGGGAATAGAATGCTCTCGTCTCCAGGTACACCTGTCCTCCATTGCAGTATATGGTAGACAGGTGAAAAAGAAATTGGCATAGTACTGTTTATGGAAGTCAGAAGTGGGTGCTAAGAATATTTTAATAATTCTGAAGACAGTGAAATACTGATGCAGATTGCCAGGGGGATGCATGGCATCTCTGTCACTGGAAGTCTTAAGATAACAACCAGAAAAACAGTGGTCAGGAATGACCTTCTGACTTTGTTCTGTGGCAGCAAGATGAACTAGATGACACTGTGACGTCCTCCCAGGTCTTTTATTGTACAATTTGACACTTACCTTACTTCAGGCAACTTTTGTTGCTGACTTGTAATGTATTGGAAAGATGTTGATATTTCATGTCACAAGCTCCTGAAAGCAGGTTGTTAGGCAAGAACCTTTCCTTTTGTTTTTATAAAGCAGAAGTGTCTAGTACTTATTTTTGAAAGAAAGAGATTAAAATAATGAACTCAGAACCTTCAGAAAAGGGCAAGGACAAAGCAGCCAGAATATACCTATCAATATCTCATTTTTTTTAAGACAACTTTATAATCATCTAAATGTTTGGGGGAGGCAATACTTTTGACCTTAACCTTGGCCTCATTTGTTCTCCTTGAATAATTTCTCATTTTACATTGCTGTCACTTTCTTTTCCAACCCACATTTGTTAAACAGAAAGGTTTCACTGGTGAAACGTCTTATGTCTACTAATGCTTCCCTCCATGATTGCTTTAATAGTGCATTTCTGTCAACAGAGATGTGTATGATCCCTCTATCCCTTCCATGCTCACACTGTCCTGTCAGCACAAAGGTTTGTGCTTTCAGGTGGTGAGCCAGAGCCAAGAACTGACAATGGTCTTAAACAGACTGGCAAAGAAAAAAAAAAAACCAAACCCAAAACTCTTTCACCAGGATCACTTCTCCAGTCTAGTTCACTGCAAGACCATAAAAGTGTGTCGAGGGGTGTACAGGAATCTGAATGAGTAGGTTCCTGTCTGGCAAAGGTGGGAGCAGCCCACCTTTGAAAGGATAGTGCAAGACCCAAAATTGGGGAATGTGTACTAAGGAAAAGTTGTTCTCTGCTGTCCTATTCCATGTTTGTTTAGCACTGCAACTGCATAATAGAGTATCAAAAGAAAATACTTATCAGCTTTTGCACAACTGCAGAGTCAACACAAGTGAGAGAAACACTCTGTTCCTTCTCTGACTGAGTATTCATCTGTGTAGAAATAAAAAAAAAAAAGATATTTTACTCTTAACTGAGCTTTTGTAACCTCTTCCCTTAGTTTGCTGACTCAACAGCTAGGAAAAAAATGCCTTTTCCCTGGTACTGTACACAGTCTTCAAATCCACTATGAATTAATATGGATTCCTGCCATGCAACTTTCTCAGAGTATATTATTCTCTATGGTTCATTTAAGATGCTAAAGTTGTTCTTGAAATAAATATTTTGGAGAAGACATTGGACAAGGGTCTCTATGCAATGCTTTCTTTAAATAAAAAATTACTATTGCATTTTTGAGAGACATAGCTAATCCATTTTGGCTTGAATTTCTTTCCTTCACAAAAGCAAATCTCAATCCTGGTGCATAATTTGTGATCTTGGCATCCAGCCCAAACATATGTACATACTGAAATCAGTTTTGCATCTGTTTAACTTTATGCACATGAGTAGTCTAATTGGATTTAGTCTGATGAAATGACTCATGCGAAATCAAGTGTTTGCAGAACAAGGGTTTCAGAGAGTAGGGTTCTTCAGGGCAGTAGCTTCTACAGCTTTATATGGTGCCTAGCACATGAAATGGCTTTTTGATTATCTAGAAACCCTCTGTATGCAGTATAACTATAGTACGAGGTGAAACAAAGTACAACAGAACAAGTCTTGCAGTCTACGTCAGATCTTCTACTGCATAGTGCTTGGACACAATATTTGTACCAATTAATTAATTGTAACTTTCTTTTTAAGATTTTTGTTCTGGGAATCTCTTCAGGATCAAGGAAAATCACTCTTATTCCTTTGTAACAGGCTACCAGGTGGCAGCTCTTGGCCTTCTGGTAGCCATTGGTCAGGTTAAATACTGTAGCTTATATATGCTAGATACTCTGATAAATTATAGCCATTATCTCCTACCAGAATGGAACCATATTCTTCTACTGCCTGGTAGTTCAATGGACACCTCCTGCAAGGAAGAGTTATCCGAATGGGCAGCAATGTAGAAATTCATCATCTTCCCAGAACAAAATATCAGTGTGTCAAGAATAGGAACAGGGTTTTTTTCTGCTCTCCCAACTCTTTTCTTGTCATGCCATCTCAGGTCTGCCATCCTGAACCCTGGCTAATTACTTGCCTCATAACTCTGTAGTCATAGGCTGTAGGAAGAGAAAAGGTGATGCTGAGCTTGCTACTAGTTGAAGGTGTTTGTATCCAGCGGCTGGCTTTTCTGTTTTCTTTTGATGTTTTCTCATTCTCCTGACATCTGCTGTAAGGGCTTAGGGAATGGAGAGTGGTCTGGAGAGTGAAGAGACCCAAGGAAGGGGATGAGAGAGGCTGCAAGATCTGATGTTAGGAGCATTAGGGATTAAAAAGAGGAACTCCAGTGGGTTTGTACTATGAGAATATAGTCTGGGGAGGATAGATAAAAAAGGAAGGCTTGGAGTGTGAGTGCTGTTAAGGCAAGGCAAGGAAATGTATGGGAGTGACTCCAAAACTGATGTTGTACAGAGGACCAACATAAGATAGAAATAAACATAGCGAAAGAAAAAGAGAAGTTGGAGTAAGAATATAAAGCAAGAAGCACACCTTAAAGATGAATGGTTTTGTTGGCCTTTCCTTCCTACTTCACTGCTCAGCTACATTCTGTGATTGGTGAAAATACCCTGAAGTAAAGACAATTTTAGGAAGCTCAGAATATAGATCAAGGCATGTGATTTTAAGTATTTGAAATGTGTTTTTGATTGAGGCGTTATGCTCCTGACTTTTGGTGACATTTAGGCAGGAGGCACCTAAAAAAAGCATGTACGTGAAGTTCATGTAGCATCTCATTCAGGACTCTCTGAAGTTAATAGACTACAGTATGCTTTGAAGCAAGAGAGGAAAATATTGAAATATTACAGGATTAAAATATTATAGAAGTAAAATTGTGCTCTGAATTACCTAAACGTGAATCTGATGGCTCTGGTGAAGATACTCTCTGATACTTTTGTGTGACTGGGGGAAAGCTTTGATCTTGAAGTGTTAAGTTGTAGAAGGCTTTTTATTAGTGATATCTTTTTGTGGTATGCAGTTTGAAGTGTACGCAGAGGAAACAGGTAACTGAAGTGTTGATATTGCAAGCAGAGATGCATGGTATTGACTTTTGGTAATTGAAAACATTTTGGTCCTACAAGTGGATACACTTTAATGAGATGGTCATCTGTTTTATCCAGTAAGCTGAATTTCTGCTCAGGGGAAAGTTCTGAATGCTCATACGCAAAGAGAAAATGGTTTTACTATATGATTCATATAAAAGCATTCAAAATGTTAACAAACCTACACATCTCTAATTCATTCTGGGGTTTTGCAAGTGAAACTAGAACGTAATCATTTCCATGTTTTGAATAACTTATTGCAGGTCTTGATAATATTTCTTATAGATTGGATGAATATCAATATTTCCTACTTAAATCCTCTTTGCCTTAAAATGTGTAATTTTTAATCCTTTAGAGTTTTGTGCAAATCAACTGCCCCTTATTTACATCTTGGTTAATAAAAAGAAGTTGGTATTTGTAAGAAACTTCTGTATGTAGTACTTAAACAAGGCTGTATGGCAAAGATCTCATGTTAACTGTAAATGTCGTAGGTAATTCATTTGTTCATTGATTTACTGAATTTGCCACTGGTCACATTTTTTTAAGTACTGAAACGAATATTATTATGAATTGTTTGCTCTTACAAGGATTATGAGCACTTTATGTTGAACAAAGAATAAAAAAAAATCATGGAATTCTTTAAATATTTATAAAGCATTTTTGATCAGTAGACCTTATTTTCATGGTGAATTTTTACAAATGTATTCTTTTTGTCTATTTTCAGTCCCCTGCACATAGCTATTCAAGCTATGACTCTGGCAAGAATGAGAGTGTTGGCAGAGGTGCTGAAGATCTGTCTCTGAATCGAGGAGATGAGGATGAGGATGACCATGATGAGCAGGAAGATCCTGAGAAGGTTAATGAATCAGATGGGGTAGAAGCTGAGCGACTGAAAGCCTTTAACGTAAGTCCTCTTGCACTTGGTGTCTTGTTTACTTCTACTATTCCTTTTACATTGCTATTTATGGGTAAGTTTGACAATATTAAAGGCACATTAATTTAATTTGCAGGATTTATTTCAATTATTATTTTAATGCATATTAAACTGTTGCCAACAGATGACAGATTTACTGTGTTTTATTTAGGATTTTAAGGCAGAGTGCCATCTTTACCAGTGAGGAAAACAAAGCTTTGTTCTGTATGCGTGTGTGTGCGCCCGTGTGTGTGGATGTGCATGTGTGTATGTGCATGTTCACCCACTGAATGGAAAGAGGCTGTAGCTAGTTTATCAGAAGACCATTCCGGTGGTCAGCTGTTCTCTATTGCTTTCCCAATGTATGTAATTATGCATGAAAACACAAGCAATTGTTCAAACAAAGAAAAAGTGAGAGTCAGTTCAATAAAATGATTAGCAATCACAGCTTATTGTTAATAATGAAACTTAAGTAGTGCCTATTTTCACAATCTGTTTCTCTCACAAGTTCTGTATCCTATAGACTATTCTTTCCTTGTCTTTTTTTTTTTAATCACCCGCCCCAAAATAACCCTTTAAAGAACTGTTTGCTTAATATTTCTGGCTTCCCATTACAAAGCTCTTCAGTGGATAGAAAAAATGTCTTCCTATCAGTAATCAAGACAGGAAGCTAGGAAGAGAAGAGAGCCACCCTCCAAACCCATCTCCTCTGTCTCCCTCTTGCCAACAGATGTTTGTCAGGCTGTTTGTAGATGAAAACTTGGACCGAATGGTCCCAATCTCTAAGCAGCCCAAAGAAAAGATCCAGGCTATCATTGACTCATGCAGGCGACAATTCCCTGAGTATCAAGAGCGTGCCAGAAAACGCATACGTACTTACCTCAAGTCCTGCAGGCGGATGAAAAGAAGTGGTTTTGAGATGGTGAGTTTTGATTTAAAACCCAGCCCTAGTTTCCATCAAAACCCCATATGTAAATCCATGGCACTATTTTGTTTTCATCTTAGTGTCTTTTTTTTGTTTGTTTATTTTTTTGGTAATACCAGGTCAGAGGTTTCTTTTTCCCTCCTTCATTCTTCCTGAAATTATTTCCTTTGTTCACTGGTTTAAAAATGCTTTGAGACACCAGAGTTCACAAGAGGAACTAGTATGGATATATAGGAAAAGAAAAACAAAGCAAGGCATAAGGAGGGAAAACAAATAATGGCATATATAGTGACTTATTTCCTAGTTTAGCTTACGGTTAGAGATTTTTGCCTGGAAAAATCTTGCGGTAACATGGATTTTTCTTTAACATACCTCTGCTAACTGGATTTCTGTGAGCTCTGTAAAAATTAGGTCCTGCTAGAGAAATGCTATGCCCAAGCAAATACCCAGTGTAGTAACATCACACTGGCAATGCTTTTGGCTTTGGTTTTTTTTCTTGTACATTTTATCCTATTAGTTATCAGTAAAAGTTACTCCTTTGAAATCTTTCAGTTTATATATGGGTGGGCAAAACACATTAAATGGTTTTAAAACACAGACAACAAGCTTACAATTTGAGCATCCCAATGGTTTAGTAATTGTAATTGAACCGAAACCCATGAACATTATGATGGTATACAACTGTCAGTGTTTTCAGACATTAATATTTTAATATTACTCAGTAGCATAAGAATGGGTAAATAATAAGTCTTGTCACCAATTGGCAGCTTCATCATCTCTGAAAACTTTGGTATTTCCAAAACCCAGGAAAGTTGGAGGAAACTAGGTAGCTACACACCTTATGTTTGATGTGTCTTAGCTATCTCTCTGGCCTTTAGACGACAAGAAAATCACTTCATCATTACAAATAGATATCATTTAGTGATTTAACATATCATATTTTTTTTTAATTAATCACCTGCAAACCCATTGATTATATTAAAAAAATACTGGAGTTGATTGAATTTTACTGTTTCTCTATTTCTCTCTGTCTTTCTCTTTCCTGCAGTCTCTGCAGAATACTTATGATTTCCATATGTTGTTTAAGATGTTAGCTGACAGTTTTCAGAACAAAATACCAGGTTTATTTGTAGGGTAAGACCATGATCGGATAACACAAAAAGCAAAGTTGGAAACTAATTTTTTTAATGTGTTTGTGATTCTAATCAACTGCATGGTTTTATTATTTGAAACATTGGGATAACACTGTTTCTGAACAATGGAAACGAAGATGAAGAGAGACAGGTAGAATAAAGGACATCTGTACAGATAAAAGTGCCAAAGATTGACTGGTGGTGTACATGTCAGATTGTACAGCCTTCCAAAATAAAAGAAGGAAAAACTGACAGTAAATATTTTCTATGATACACCAAGTAGCATCAAATTGCATCTACTCTCTCTGCCTGAAAATAATGCAGCAACATCAAGTTCAGCTTTCACAGTGCCAAATATTTTTATTTTGCTGTACTTTCAATTGAAAATACTTATAAAATTAGCTGATGCTAGCAAGTCTCCTCACTGTTCCAATTTATGGCCTCATTACTGTCATTATTCACACTGATGAGCAGTTATGTAAACTGGCTCATTTTTTGTCCTCTGAAAGACTTGTGCAACTGTTTTGCAATATGAATAATGGGCGGACCCATAAGAGCTAGGTTGGCCTGACTTCAGTGCACATTTCCAAATGTTACTTTCATATGAATAAAGGTTACAGGATCAAATCTATTCCCGGGAGGGGAAAAGGAGCAGAGATTACCAAGGAACATGGTCCAAATAGGCAATCTTTATAGTTCAGAAATATTCTCTATTTTTATAATGTTCCGCAACAGTTTATGATGGATTTTATTTATTTATTTTTTAAAAAATTACACTCTAAAATATTGACTTTGCTGCCCATGAGTGGAAGTGACAAGGCACTGGAGCTCATGCTAAAGATTTCAGTCCTGAAAGGACCTGAAGGGAAATCTGTCCTGCTTCTCTGTTTGCAGGTAGGAAAATAAGCCAAAGACTATCCAACATCTTTGGAGGAGCTCCCATTAACTTTCTAAGAGAATAAGTGGGGTTTTATGTTTATGTCTTGAGTAATTCTGAAGGATAATGCATATCCATTTGTTGGTTTTAATTATTTTCTGATTTCTAAATTACTGTATCAGCATCTCTGATTACAAGCAGTTTTTAAAAATGCTACCACAGACAGAGGCACTTGACTGTATGATTATTTTAGCTGTACTTACCATTTTGACAGTGGCAAAGAATCACTTTGTCCGGATAATAACATTCGTGCAAAACAATCATGAAAGGACATGTCGGTGTTGATTTGAATCAGGTGCTACTCTCAAATATAGCAAAACAGGATAATGATCTCCTCAGGAGCAATAGTGCTACAGTTGTTATATTAAATAGGATGTCAGATAATAACCTCCACAGGAGATGTTTTTTGCTATAGTCATATTAAACACAAGTTTTTCATTTTGTTCAGGTTCAGAATGCTACATTTTGAGCATCTAATTGCAAGAGAAAAAGAGAATAATCTCAATTATGGCACATGACAGTTCAGACTGTGTATGGAACAGTACAGCTATCTACAGTGACATATTGTAAAGGGAAGAGAAAACGTAAACACTAAGTTAAATTAGTGTAAGACTGCATGGTAAAGATGAAAAAGCATGCCTGAAGCCTGCTTCTGTCTGTTATTTGCCATCTGTAATCCAACTGACAGTTCTTGCTGCATAACAGGCCAGTTCTAGCTCTGAGGCAATGGGAAAGGCTCAGTCTCATGAGTGTTCATATTGTTAATTAACGTGTTTCTTAGTATTAATATTTTTAAGAGATTGCTTATAGTTATTCTGCTTCTACTTATGACAGATAGTTGTCCATGGACTCCAAGGCAGCTTGCATAGCTTCTTGTTACAAATATTCCTTTGAGGAGTTATCTTTCTACAATGGAAATACTTTCCTCACTTGGCTGTTCAGCTTGTAATTGTGCCACTTTCATTTTCATTCTGACAGAAGCATATCCCTCAACAAGGCACTGTCAAAGTCTTTCTCATGAATTGTAAGATTGTTTTTCTTCTCCAATTGTCTCTTGCTTATGGACTGTTGAGAATGGTATCTTACTAAATTCTGGGATGTTGCTCAGAATCTTTCATTGGGAGGGAAGTTTGTCAAGTCCTGAAATCACCGGCTTTTGGATGGGATCTCTAGGTTGTGCTTCCACCTGTGCTATCCTGTAGCACTTAGTGAACTTCTGAAACTTCTTGATGTTCTTAAAGAAATTCTTTCTTTTTCTCTTCATTAGCCCATAAGCAAAAGAAAAAAAATAGTACAGCCTTTCTCTCAAGGACTGAGAATTCCTTTTTAAACATTAAGTGTTCTGTGACCTATACATGCTATACAAGAGGATTTTTCTCCCTGAAGTGGTCAAATGACCTGTTTAACTAATATTTTTGAAATCCATTCCTTTAGATTTGTCTCAGCCTCTCTATCTATAGAAAACTGCCAATTAAAAAAAAGATAGTATACTGCTGCTGAGGACATGTGGTATCTATTTAGTCCAGAAAATTTTAGATGTTAGAAATGATCAAATGGCATTGAATTGACTTAATTACATTTTCTTACTACGATCTGCTTCCTCCCGTCTTCATGATCTCCTATCATCAGTCTCACTGCAGTCAGTTTGAAACTGCATCTTACATTATCTTTTTCACAGTTATGCCATTTTTTTCTATGCGTGAGCAAGGTCTTAAACTTTCCTTCACAAAGAGATTCTTCCTTTTGTTTAAGCAAAAGGAAACCCTCCTTCCTAGGCACTACTGTAATACAAAGCAATAGTATCAAAGAGCAAAGTGTTCTTATGTATTGGAGAGAAAAGGGTAGTCATAACTGCATTTCATTGTCTGGTGACAAGTTTGCATGTGTCAGAGAGGAAAAGTCTCACTATGCCTGAAGACTGTTCCTCAGTTAGATCCCAGTGTTGTTCATTCCAGCTCCTTCTGTCCTATCGCCAGCCTTGGTAATAAATAACCAAGCTCTATATCTTTCACTGCTTCTGTCATTTGGTTGTGCCAATGGGCTGTAAGAGGTGTTCTAGTGATTTGCAACTCTGCACATGTCGATTGAGGTGTTTTAAATGTGTCTGGTGGCTTGGAGTGCTTCTGTATTGTGACTGAGCAACTTTGGTGGCGACTGGTGTCCAGAAGGGGGTATGTTTTCTGAAACTTGTTAAGATTTCTCAGGGTAGATATGTAGCCTCTGTTTTTAAGTTTTAGCTTTAGAGAGAGGAAGCTTTCATTATTTACTGAATTTAGTGCTGAATAGTCCAGCTGCTCTTGCAGTCACATGGCTTTTCAGTCCTCCAGGCTTTTTATGGCTGGAAAGGTCATGAGCATTTTCAGGAAGATGAGGGTCTGTGGATCTAGGGATGCATACCTAATCTTGATTAATAAGCTGGGAAGCATTAACAAAATTATCACAAAAACAGTTACATGAAGATCTACAAATAATAATAGAGTTGTGGCTTTGTAGTGTACCCCAAACTCTGTTGACTCGTCACTTTCCTTTCTAAGCATCTCACCCTTGTTAGACAGTGGTCAGCTTTTGTGAGTCTAATGAGCATCCTGGCTGAAAAAGGGCAAAGCTACTCTCTGACAAGCTTTGACTTTTTGCAGTAGGTCTCACATATCCTTAAAAAAAATATCTAGAAACTGTTTCCCTAAGGCTCTTAAATCTTTCCCCCCCCTTTCCCCCCAAACAGTTAAGTGAATACTGATGTGATTTTTCAGAACTGCCTTTTAAATCTGTCTCAGATACCTTTTGCTTTTCAATAACTTTTGCAAGTATAGGCACTTTTTGAAAAGTGAGTGGCAGAGGAAGTTATGCTTTTTCCTGTAGCCTTGGAAAATGTGAAGAAGTTAGCTTTGAAAAAGGCATGATATTTGGAAAAAGAATGAAGACTAAAA